CACACTATGGCCCTAGATGCATTTAAAGAAAAAAACCCAATAACTATTTCTCCAGAAGCCTCAGTACATTTGTTTGTAAGAGCAACACCAGATTAGTGAAAAGTAACACAATGCACCTCAGCTGTTGCAAGACAACAAGCAATATTGTTAAGTGCCAACTATAGCCCAGTACAACAAGGAGGAGACCCCCAAAATCTCAAGTCTCTCTACCAAGCTTTATTTGTGAGGCAGCCCATGACCTGCAGTGCAGAAGCTGTGCTAGTTCTTGACTGCAGGTAAAATCATGCTTTTCTCTCTTTGCCTGTTTCCAGAGCAGAGAGATAAGTCGTTCTATTTTCCGTTTTCCTGAGTGGAGGAGCAGTGACTCTACTGAGAGGTTTACAAGCATTGGTGTTCATGCTTTTGAGCCTTGTTTTGGGTGGTGTGCAAATAGAAGCATTCATCTCCTAGCTCAACACAAAAAGGAAAAGGGAAAAGGGAAAAGGGAAAAGGAAAAGGAAAAGGAAAAGGAAAAGGAAAAGGAAAAGGAAAAGGAAAAGGAAAAGGAAAAGGAAAAGGAAAAGGAAAAGGAAAAGGAAAAGGAAAAGGAAAAGGAAAAAAAGGAAGCTATATCCTGTTCAAGTCATCTGTTGTTTAGTCATTACTTAACCCTGCAGATCCTCACAAGGTGTAGGCTCAACTCATCACCAGGAGCCTGCTGGTTGTCAGGGGCAGGTGCTTCACTGACCCAAGCTGTGTGACAGCCACAGTCTGCTGCATTCCCAGTAGGTGTGAAGAGATGCAGCTTTTCAGTACATGGTAGCTGTGGAATCCTCCAAAGAATGAGCAAAATCAAGTTGTTCCCAGTTCAATTTTCAAAACTCAGTTTTGTCTCCAAGAGTATGACGAGGTGCCTGGAGAAATGGGTGTCTTATTAGTTGCTGCTTAAAGTTAATTTTTCCTATATGTGTGTGTATATGTATAACTACATATATATATATAATTATAGATATTCATTTTTTACATTCTACGAAAGCTTATTTATTAGAACTCGGTCTGTGCCATATAGGTAACCTCAGGACTCCAGGTTTGTTGGGTGATTTTCCCCATTTTCTAATTGACTGAGTACCCAAGTCCCCAGCTTTGAGCTTTCCTAATGAAGCCAGCACCAGGAAAACCTTGCAGTAGCAGTAGCAGAAAAGAATGACTGGGAAATTTTATATAACAATAAATATTTTTCTTTTTTTCTCCCACTTTTTTCCCCTCTTTTTTTTGGCACTAAACAAACATTCCCTAAAACACCCTTCTTAAAAAAAAGTAACCACAGTAGGATTTACCGTCTCAGCATTGTGTTTTATATTTTTCCCATTCACAGAATACTTATATGTCTGGACATGAAACTGAGTTTGAAAGTTGTGTTTTGATTCTTGTCTGGTTCATTTGAACTGCTTCTATGCTGCTGCTCAAGCAGAGAAGGAGTAAGAACGATGTTCCAGATCTTTTAACATATTCTAAATTCCCAGATGTAAAATTCAATTGCATGAGTGGTGGCAAAAAACAAGGTCTAAGAGCGGGCGCAAAGACCAGAAAAGTAAATTTATTTTTTTAATTGGGAGCATAGTGAACACAGTCCTCAGAAAATGCAGCATAAGAATTTTGTATTATGAGCTTGTTCGTGGAGTACCTTGATCTCAGCTAGATGAGATGCAGTTGACATTTGGCAGACAAAGCTCTAGGGAAAGCTGGCGGATGTTAAGAAATAAGACATTTGGTGCAATTAGCTGTGGTACCAACCCAGGAATGAAAGTAAATAGGCACAACATGGGGACAAGAGGATTTTTCAGAATTAAGGCCTAAACAGCTCATGGCTGCAGAAATCCCCTGCTCTTTGTACATTCCTTGGCAATTCCCTCTTTAAATAACTGGTTTGTCTGTTTCTAGATCCTGGATAACTGCAACTGGGTTTGGCTTCTCCCTGTCTCCTCTTGCCCATCCCAGTACGTGCTGTGATACTGCACTGTACACTGAAACAGCTGCCTCAGCCCACATCTGCCACAAAGGGCTGCAGGATTAAAAATTAAACTAATACACATTTAAGAGATCTGGATGGGCAGGGTCAGTCTAAACTCTGAACAGACTGAAATGACTGCAGGGCTGTCAGCTGCTTTTACATCCTTGAGTTTTCTTGAATGTTATACTGGGCAGAGAAATGGTCTCTATTTAGGAACATTTTGTGCCATTTCATAAGGTGACTGCCTAGTCATTTGTCTTCCACAGTAACTCTCATGGGGAAGCAGGATCTTTTCTTGTGGTTTTACTCATGGATATCTTGCAGAATTTCCATATTCTTAAGTCTTACCCTTTTAAAGCAAAACCAGCAAAATTTCAGGTTCCTTTGCTTAGTCCTCAGAAAGTTATAGCAATTACAGAAATACACAATGACTATCATATGAGAAGATAAATGATCTATCTGAGCTTGTGTGACAACCTTTGAATTTTCCAGACAGCTCTTAATTTGCCAAGGAAGAGTAGTTTTCCTGGAGAATAACTGAGCCAAAGAACTGGGGTAACAATTATCCAAAAAGCTGAGCCGTCTAAAACCAACTTAAAGACCATTAAAGTTTCCCCTTTCAAACTGGAGAATTAAAATATTACAGGCATGTAAGTTTTAAATTAGAGGTAATGAACAATGTTAGAATAATGAAGAAACCATTTCCCCTTCTATGAGTCTTCCCTTTAGGTACCAGCATTCCTGCATTACTGGTGATGCTCTCGCTGTCAGCACCTGCAGGAAGTAAGTGGTGGGAGGAGGTGGATGGCCAGGGACACAATGGCTCATCTCAAACACCAGTCAACTACTCCAGAATGTTTTAAATGTGAGAGGAGCACAGTAAGCAGAGAAAAGGAAGGAAAAATACCACCACATAGATGCTCGGAAGATACTCTATTTGAGTCCAGTCTGTTGGGAAAGTCCTTGCATTACTACAGACAAGCACAACACCCAACCAACAGGCTTGTAAATCCAGGGATGACTGAGAAGCTCATGAAAAACACCAGACCATTACAGCTGGTTGTGTGCCATCTTGGCAGCGGAACACTATGAGGGATTGATTTCTGTTGCTTAAGGGAATAAACGCTTGCGGTCACGATGAGGGATACTTTGACTCTTTAGAGGCTGAGAAATTATGCACTAAAACATAACAAAATAATGTAATTCTAATATTGGGTGGCCTCAAATTCATGAAGGTTCAGCCATCTTATCTATCTACACATCTAAATAATCAGTCTTAAATTATTTCTTCTGCGGCAGCTACCTCCCTCTCCCCTTAACATTTTGTGACAGTGTCATAGACTATTGCTACAGTTTCAAATTTATGATTAATTATTCTTAAATTATTAAGTCTCCAAATAATGTGTCTTTATTTACCTGTAGACACATTTTGTCTACCTTCATCAAACTCTTTTGTAACAATCTCACCCTCAAAGCACCATTTCCCCTGAAATTATTTTAACATCCCCAAAAAGTTTTGGCATTCTTTGTTTTGCAAAGTGGAGGATTTTTTTTAAAAAAAACCTTCATCCTTCCTCCTAACAAGAACAGGATGTGAAAAAACCTTGATTGATCTAAAACTTCCTGGAAAGCATGAGAGAAACTCTGGAATCAGAAAAAGCCACTGTGTAAAAGTATAAAGAAGTCAACTTTCTGTGAAAGTACATTGCTCTACCAGGATACATTAAGAAAACAAAATTTCAGGCCTTGGTTTTACAGAAACTGTACAAAATACATTAAATTACTGGGATTGTTCCCTTATGTCACTTTAGTTAACTGGGCACATTCAGTAGGACACATGAATGGATTATTTGGCAAAGCACTGACTTACTGCGTACATGAATTACAGAAACTGATGTCCAAATTTTAAGAGTTGTATGAATCACCTAAAAAAAATTAAAATAAGAAGCCTTAATTGCTCTACAAGCTTACAGAATTTATGGCATAGGAAATGCAAAAGGATGACATAGAATAAGGTCCTTTAGGTTCAGTTGGTGTGCAAGAGTTCCCTGTCACTGCATGCTACCAGCACTTAATATTCAGCTGACACCAGCAAGCCAGGCAAAGCTGTGCTGAAGTTTTATTTGCACAGCAATTTTAAACTTGACACTGAGGTCGGACTACAGTAATAAACTGTAGGACTTAAGGGAAGAGTAGTGAAACAAGAGTGAAAGTAAGTAACACATTGCCTCTCCCTGCACTCTCCACTGTGCTCAGTGGATACAACGGGCACCTGCAGCACTTTAAAAACCACAGTAGCACTAGAACAGATGTTTTCAGTGCTCTTCTACTAAGCACGAGGTGAAATAGGAAGCAGGAGAAGCACTTGTGCTTCAATGCAATATTTCAAAATATAATGAGTAGATACATGCCCAGCTCTCATTCTCTTGCTGGCAACCCAGGTGGGCATTGCCCGTGGCTGTGCTGGCACATGGCAAGGCTGGTATCAGTTCCTGCAAAAGCACCTTTGGTTACTAAATAACCATGAGATCTTGCTTCAGTGTAATGCGTGAATTCACCCTTACTCGAACATAAAACTCAGAGTAGAATTTAAGACAGTGATTCCTAAGGAACCAAGGATGAGGGAAAACTTACTCCAACTATGTTGTCATTTCCAAAATTGCATCCAGTGCCTCAGAGAGCTGGTACTGGATCACTTTGCACAGCTCTTCACTGAGTCAGAACACGGCAACTGGCAGTGTGAGTGATGAATCGTGATCTGATGGCAGCACAAAGCTCTCACAGCTATCTTACAGCTGAACTCTTCCAAATCAACCCATCCACTAATGCACCTCAAAGGAATTTACTTCACTAACCCAAGAGTCAGACTTTTGTCAGTGAATCATCAGTTCCCCTGTAAAGCAGTGTGCTACTTGTCCACATTGCACGATTAGTAACACACACAAAGAGACTCAGAGAATGTTCATGACAAAGGCAGAATAAAAATGACTATACATCTAGATGGATTATATAATATATAATTTAAAATTTTATTTTAAAACTTTGCACATACACTTCTTCAGTATCCTCCTTTTTTGTTCATTGCACTGAAAAGTTTCAAAAACACAAAATATATCCCTTTACTAAACATTTTTTGTTCTTAGGTTACAAAAAGATTAACATTTCACAGTCACAAAGCAGAAGTACATTGGTCCAAAACATCTTCCTCCAGCAGGTCCTCCTTTCTTCAGGACATGTAAACCCTAGACAGTTGTACAGATCTCAAGATATTAAGATGAACTGCCCATTGAAGGAAAGATAACTGTGGCAGGTATTAAAAAAAAAAATCAAAATTAGACACCTATGAAAGAACACCAACAGCAATGGATTAAAAAAAAAAAGAAAACAGAATGAGCATGGAGGTGGAGAAGGGCATCCTCCTTCAAGTACATCACAGGTAGAAATACAGCAGCACAGATACAGCATCATTTAGTCACTCTCTCTATGACAGCCACATCACTGAGTCTTCATCTAGGACACATGGAGGAAAACTACTTACATACCTAAAATGTCTGGGAGGAACAATAGTTTCACACAGTTTGCCATTCATGTTTGATAGAAAAATGCTGAAAGTATTAGTACATAAAATGTAAAATAAAAGGAAAACACCAAGGCTGGAAGAAACACAGCAGATTTGCTCAAAGCACGTAGTGTTCTTTAAAAACCTAGCAGAAGTTCAGAGCCAAAATCTGCCCAAACATCAAGAGCAGTTCTTCAGAAACATCCTGGAGGGACAGAGTTGACAGTACCTCACAAAACCTCTTGTCATATTTCAACACAGAAGTAACTGCAAATAGAAATTCACTATTAACAGCAGATTATGACCACTTTTCATTTAGTCTGTTAGCCCTGTTGTTTCTTAGAATTTATAAAAAAAAAAACTCTCCAGTGTGAGGCCACTGAACAGCAGCCCTCTCAGACACTTTTGTGTTCATGAAGGAAGCAGTATTGTCTTAATGCACCAAAAGATGGTTGTGTATTACATAATCTGGTGTAAATTAAATTTCTAACCACCTTCTCCATAAAATTAAAGAAAATTTTAGGCTGTAGTGTAAGTAAAAAATATCTGAAATGGCTGTTCTACTTTCTGCAACAGTATTTCTGGGAGAATGGTAAAAGCTTCTTGGTTTTGAGTCTCTAGAAATGGGACTGGACAAGGCAGCAGAAGACAGTCCTACACTGCAGCTCACTGGAACTCCTTTACTGGCACCTTTCCCTGCCATTATCCAAAGAAGGACAAGAATTTGCCCAACTTTCTAAGCAGTGCCTCTGCACAGGCCAGGCAGAGCATGTGTGCAATAGCAATATGAATGCAGATGTAACTCAGGACTGAGGTTCCTTGTTGCTGAGGCTGTAGCAGTTTTGGATACCCAGGAAACTAGACTGGCAAAAAGCCAGAGCACTGCTGGCATCAGGCAGTAACTAAGATGATATGCCAGGGATCTAAAATTTGGACTTGGTGTCTAACTTGCTTCAGTTGGAGGATACAAGCTGTCCCTAACTTAGGAGCTTCACTGAGCACTAGAGCAGCTGCAAGTCTGAACATGGCAGTACCCATCCTGAATCTGAAAAACGGCACTGTGCACCAGGTATCCTCCCTGCTATCAGTGTTTTCTAATGCTGTGCAATGCAAAGTAATTCAGCCTTTGAAGGGAATTGGAAGTGCCTTTAATTACTGCTTCTCACATAACACCTCCACAATAAATGACTCCTGCCTGTTGTTTCTGTGAACCTTAGGTGTGTATATGTATTAATACTATGCCTTGAAGCAGAGCATGACCCCAGCTCAGGTATGCAAGAACCTCCTACTGAAACAGGTAAAAGTGAAAGCCCAAGTACTACTGCATGGATCACAGATGTGCCAGACACTCCAGGGAGGCAAGCACCTAAATATGTAACAGATACTTTGCAAGAAAGCAAAACAAAAAGCATCACAGCATAATTTCAGTCACATACATCTGAGTATAAAACCTTTTACTAAAGTTCTCAGAATTCATTAATTGATACTAATTGTTGATACTGTATTTCTGCCCTTTCTGGGAGAGGGGCTGACAATGAACGTAACTCAGCCTGAGCCCAATTGCTGCAGAGAAGCTCCTGACGGATGGCAGTGCCTCAGATGAACAGCAAACACTGTGCAGGCTGATTCACTAGCCCACCAGATCATGCTCTGAGAAGTCACCTGCCAGTTTGTCCCACCAAGTCATGCAGTCTGCTAACCCATCTCTTCAGGGGTACATTTAAAAACACCCTTGAATGAGAAGGTGCCTTTTCCATTGCCATTGAAATTTCACTTTCAAATTTTGGCAAATGCTACACTGGAAATCTATTTCCACCACACTGCACTCAGTGGTTTTATAGCAACTGGTATGTGCATTGACACTTTTACCAAATGAAGACCAACAGTGCATAAGCACTGAAATATTTGACCTGGGCTTGTAGCTGGTACCAGCAAGCACCAGCGTCTTTGCTGTTCAGATGATTTCACCAGATTTGTCAGCACTAATTTCTTTGTCAAAGAGGATCTGAATTGCTAGAGGACTACACAACTGCATTTGTGAAGAGACAGCAGGAGTTACATAGAGCATGAAAAGCATGTTTACAAGTTTATTAGGCCAAAAAGTGCAAGAGAAGACTTCTTTCTTAAACTTTAAAACATATGAGGGGCTATGTGAAAAACATTCTGGACTCCAAGCCTCTCTTTTCACCCAGATGCACACAGAAAAAGAGGTAAAGAGAAAAAAAATCAGGAAAGAAAGCATGAAAACACATAATCAGATATGCCATTGATTTATACTGAAGCTCTAGACTACAAAACAGCTACATTCTGTATAGCTTTATCACATGAGGCACTGGGGAACTCATGGAACAGTTTTCAGGCCAGAATCATGCAGCTTGCTGCAATGCTTGAGCTGTTCCACTCTCCACATTGCCTGCTTTTATCCTGAAACTCTTCTGGGTCTAGAGATTTGGAGCAAGAGTAGTTTGAATACACCAAACCGTACTTCCAGAGGCAGTCAAATACAGCATCTGGGCAGCTGCACTGCACTCGGGCTGCGCTGTGTTTACACAGCACATCATAAATTACAGAACTGGCAAGCTCTGGGCCACGCCTGTTCAGGAGAAACCCTGCAAAGGGCACAGCATTTCCTTCTCTTTTGGAAAGGACACACCATTTGTGAGCTCCCTAGTCAGTGCCCTACAATGATGTCAGCTCTCAGTCTTTTTTCTTATCGAAGAACTACAAACCAGATGAACAGCTCCACACCAATGTGGTCTGGGCACAAATCAGGTGCAAGTTAGCTCCCCAGCCAATATACCTGCCTGCATGATAGAACTTTCTGATTTTGTTTTCTCTTAAATTCCTGCCAGTGAAGTAAGAGAGCTGCCTGCATGGACTAGGCAGCCAGGTTACACTGCAAACTTCTTCACTTGTTTCTCTCCTGGCTTTCATGTCAAAAATGTTTTACACAAATTTTATTTATTTAAATTATCACTGCTAAGAAAAGATCTGAAGCAAGCCAAGGGCTTGTATCTATCACAGTCATCTTGTGATCCTTGAGTACAATTCTCAATGCCAAGAGGAAAGAAAGTTTTAAGCTGTCCCTTTCTGATCACCACAGTCAAGCAGGCAAAGGTATACTGAATAATAGATGAGGCAGGAAGAACTGAAAAACCTTTGAAATAGATCACTGTCTGTGTATCCAAATTGCTAATGAGAGCAGTACTACTACTTCAAGTAAAAGTCCAACTGAAAACACACTCAGGAGCCCAAACAAATTTACTAAATCTCAACTGATGGAAAAATTTTATGGTCAGGGATCCTTTCAACAGGATAAGCAGGCAGAACCATCCAATGAATGTAAATCTCTGATCCCAAAGAAACCACAGCCTCCAGGTAAACATCACATAAAGTTGAGTTTGCATGCTCTGTATAATCATGGTATACACACAACAAGAAATCTTGACAAGTAACTCCTCACCCCAGAATAAATTCTGCCATACAGGACTGTGACTTATTTCTCCTGGAAAACTTTGCAGGTGACTGTTTTTAGCTGCAGTAAACAGGCATAGTTACACTGAAACCAGTTTCAGTTTTCCTACTAAAATACAGGAGGTACAGTCTACTGAAGAAGAGACAGGAGAGGAAAATGGGGCTCAAAGGATTACACAAGTTTAAGTTGTCCATAGGTAAGTCATAAATACAACTTTCTGAAAGAAAATGCTTGAGTCTCATATATGTATATCTATATGCTTAAATGAGATGTGACCCAAGCCCCTTTCTGAATATTTAGGGGTAGATTTCAGGAGCCTCCTTGGCATCTGATACCCACTTCTACTTCAACAACTGAAATGGCTCTTCCAAGCTACATGGTAAACTGAGAAAAAAATTAATTCCCCACCCCAACTAGAGGGATGACAGAATTTATAATATGCTAGCAGCATTTAAATCCCATTCCTGTTAAGCACCAAAACCATTTTTGTAGGGAAATTGGAATCTTAAGGGTTATCTTTAATCATATACAGTGTATGTGCAGAACCCTACCTTTTGGGCAGAAAAATACTCCTCCAGCATTAGTTTTGACTAGATTATATCAATTGGAAGTGTCCTGGTCAGACCACCAAAAACCTATTGTCTCTTACAGGCCCTTCCCAAAAAGATCCCCATCCTATAACGACTCTTGGTGCTCCTTTCATGACTGTTTGTTCCCGTGGATCAAAGGGATGACGTAGACAGAGATGTCGTCTCCAGAGCCCAGCCTGTCGTTGGATATCCGCCAGCCCCGGTCCTTCAGCACTCCCCTGGCTCGCATCACCAGGTCCTGTGCCGCCAGCGTGTACCTGTGGAAAAGGCCCAGTACAGCCAGGGAGGGTTGTCTCCGTCAGCAAAGTGGGTTTGCACAGCCTGCTGCCTGCCAGATTTAAAGTTGTGGCCTACCAAGACATGCTTCCCAGTGTTTTAGAAGCAGGCAGGAGAAACACAAACTATCGCATATGCACAAAGCAACTCCTTCCAGTTCAGTGACAGTTCCTGAGTAAGAATGTAAAGCTATTTGGCAGGCACCACTTGATCAAAAGTCACGGGCCATTCTTAGTGCCTGGCTTCATCAAAATATTAAACACACTTGCCTTAACAAATTTGCTTTCTGGTAGTAGTCTGAAAAATTAAGGACTCCAATAACACTACTTGTTGAAAACTACACATTTGTTCACTGACACACCTGAAGTGCTCAACTAAACATGCCTCAACTATTTCAGAAATGAACTGTAACAAAGAAAGTAATTTGATAGCAAGTAAAAGACCATAAAAATAAAATCCAAATTTCACTTAAAGACTAACTTGTCTGTTTTCCGGATCATAGGAATTACTTTTAAATCTCTTTTATTCTGAAACTAGAAAAGGAAACTTACAGTTAATATGATCAAATTAACAGAGTCCCACAGTTCTTTCACATTTACGAGTTCAGTGAAAACTGCATGAATGTGAGTGGTCAAGTGCTTAATTTAGTGAAATCCCAAGTTTCACATTGCTTCAAAACTTCCAGCCTGTGCTGGGCCGAATGGCATTGGATTTATGGGAGTTATTTTTCTGTCCTGAGAAACTACCACATGCTACTTAGGGCAGAAGGGTGCCAGAGTCCAAAAGGTGCATAGACAGTGCTCTGTCATGTTCTCCCTTAGTGCTTTACCTGCTGTTACTACATCAACACATCTGTGTACTCACTTATAAGTTTCCTCTGAAAGAAATCTCATTATAGGTGAACAGCTACTGTCATGTGTTTTTCCCTACTTCAGCCCAACACCTGGCCAAGAGGTTTTGGATTTGATTTGGCGGAGGTAAGCTTTTCTATTATTTGATAATTAAAATTAACTGAATAGTTTAAAGAGTGACAAGGAAAAAACCACCATTCTGCATGGTTTTTATTAAAAGTGTGAGTATCAACCTCCAGGATGATGCAGGGCTCTATGAAGCCACACACACAGGCCTCTAGAACTAAAGCACACCTCTGTGTTTACAAAACCAAAGAGGACGAGAAGGGTTTGCATTTCAATATCCCCTTTTCTAGGAAGGATCCTTGGGCAGAAATTATCTGCCCAGATCTCATCTGTAGAAAGGGAAAAAACAATATCTCTGTTGATCAGAAGCACTGTGTGTGTGTTTAGGTTTATCAATTACCCAGGACTCTTCTAACCTTTGAACTTTTCACCATAGAATTCCTTATTAGGTTGTAATTTCTATCCTAGAGACTTTACTCAGTCTCTGGGGATAACAGAAGAAAAAACCCATCCCAGTTGTGTTCTGTGCCTAGAGTTTTGATGCCTTGAACTCAGAGGACTCTTTTGAAACAAGAGCAGATATATTTGCTCTACTAGAAAGATTTCTTCAATGCAAATGAACCAGTGCTTGACTACTCAAAAGGCCTGACACCAAATTCAAGTAATGTAGTAATCTTTTACAGCTGCAATGCACCCACTGTTCCTAATGGTACTGAGTGATAAAATTTCCAGGCCTCACTAGTTTTGACAAATGATTTACTTCAGCAGTAAAAGAAGGGCCCAAAGACATGAAATGTAACACACGTGCTTGCATACACACATGCACTGTCCGCATGTTCTGAGATCAGTCTGTGCCATAACCTCCAGCTAGAAGATCAGGATGTAACAAGAAGCATTGCCTTACTGTCCTAACGCAACATGAAATCGTGTTTTTTAAGGGGAAAAAACCCAAACATACATACTTGCACTCCTCAGTTCTCAAATCAGATGCCGGGCGAGGGAACAAAAGGACTCCACGTGGCAAGAAAGAAACTGAAATATTTATTCACAGCATGTCTGATGCTGAGTGAATTTTGGCAAGAACATATTTCCCAAAGATTTCTCAGCTATTGTCAGAATTTAAGAAACACCCATCATTCTGCAAGAAAACTTTGCCTTCTTGCTTTTTCTAATTAACAAGGACTCTCCACATCTAAGGAGCACAAAGGAATGAGTATTGCTTTTGATTGTATTTGGCTTTTGCTGCTGAATGTTTGGAGAGGGGAAGATTAAAAAAAAGGAGTTTTAATAAACAAGAAATTTTGTTGCAGACAAACCGTGAAATACTCAAGAAAACCCGCACAATGAAGCAAAGAAAAAGGAACAGGTGAAGGCAGTAGTGAAGTAAAGTATTCCTCTCCTGTGCAGAGCTGAATTGAAGCAATGCTGTTCAACTTGGCACTAGAAAAGATAGGGTGAGTCTCTTGTACCTGGATATGAATAGCAGCAGCAGTCCATTACCGAATGTTTTATTCTCCAGTGCTGTGAAATTGGGATACAGCTGTTGAGACAGCATTAGAGAACTGCTGAAGTAGTTTTAAAGTATCCACTTCCTCCTAATAAATAGCCTTGCTGGAATACAACTTTTGTGTTTTAAGAATAAATATATGTAGGTTTTTTTCTTATGCCAAAGCTTTCTGTATTGATCAGTGGAAGTACTGAAGGAGAAATGGTGACAGTGGGGGAATCGTGCTGCTGTCTGAGCAGCTTCTTATCTCCTCACACCCAGCAGAGGTGGAGGAGCTCCTCAGCATCCTCATAAATCTCTAGTGATTGTGAGAGGGAAAATGAGGGGACAATAAATGACAAAAGGAAGGATGAGAAATAAAAGATTCCCAAGGTCAGGAATAAATGTGCATACATACAGCTGAAGGAAGCTGACAAAGAGTCACAGTTCTCCATCTTCATACCTCTTCAGAGAGCTGATGTATGGACAGCACCAGCGGTACTGCCATCTGTCCTTCACTAGGAGCCCTGTAATGCTCATCTGCCACAATACCCATAAGAAATGAGCTGGTTAAGAAATCCTGCTCCATCCCAGCCTCTTCACTCCATCACAGCCCTCACACAGGAACTGTTCTATAAACAAGTGTGTGCCCAAACCCCCTGAGGCTGTGTCCGCATGGCTGGATGAAGAGAGACCTGAGGACTTTGCTCTCCCCGCACTTGGGAGACATCCAGGCACATACTATGTTTGCTAGAACTCAGAAATGTTTCTTATGTGGGCAACAAATACAGTAAATACCACCAGAAGAGAGTCCCAAGAGCATTGCTGAGGGCTCTAAGCTCTTACCCATCAGGCTATAAAGTGACTTCTAATTCAAATGGGAGGGATATTGGTCTCGCAGGGAGCTAATTATGTAACAGATAAGTACTCTGCAGCTCTAAAATCCTCTCTAGGTTTTTTTTTTCTCTTTTCTAATATGCTGCTGTCAGGAAATAAGTAGGCTATTGGGTCAGGTGGATCCAGAGACTGCTCCACAGGTTGGTTCTCCTGAAGACCACAGCACTGCCAAACCCAGAGTGCAAGTATCTTACATTCTGACAAGTTTTCTACATCGCTAGAGATATTTTTGACTGTTCACCTCACCCCAGATTATGTCACTGGACTCATCACAGAACCCGACATTTTCTGGGATAACATTTTCTTTAAACAACACATTTATACACTGCAAAGGAGATTTTTCTGTCGCTGACTAGTGAGAGCAATGAATGCAGCTCCACAGCTTGAGCTGGAATGCTACAGTAAATTCATTAGCTATACCTCATTTAGACCACTGTGAAATAATTACATAGAACCTCTCACACAGTGCCTTAAGACCTTTAAATATTCTTTACAACCAAACAGCAAGAGCAATTCCACAAAGGTAATTTTCATAAATATCATTGTAAACTATATGAGGGACTGCTCTAATTACCTTTTGCATGCTGGCATGAGAAATGTCTTGCCCTCACTATTTGTAAGCCTCTAAACGATCTGGCACAAAGTTGCTTAAAATAACCAATTTATTTACAATTCAGATGTCCATTCAAAGACCAGTAGGTCAAACACCAATAAATGTGTTTGTTTTAAGTTATAAACAGCAGGCTTAGCTCTGGAATGTGTGGTACTCACGCTGGCACAAACAGTGACTAATCCCCCACAATTACTAAACCAGTATGAGAAAATCTAAATCAAACCAAAGAAAATACAATTTTCCTTTAGTGTCTCTCATTGCTCTGAGTGTTCTATAATGGATGAAATAACTCACCTAACAAGTCAAAGAGGTTGAAGAATCCTACTTCTTACTGCAGCAATCATGGTGGCCATCACCATCAGCTTAGTAAAGACCAAAAGGAACAAGATAGACACAACACACCCTGACCGTATCCTCAACAGATGGGACTGGTGAGGATGGAAGGCAGGGCCAACCTTTCCCAAATACTAGATGAGAATGGAGACAGAACAGGACAGAGGTATTGCAGGTGCCTCTGCAAGAATCTGAAGGGTGCAGGAATGAGAACAAATGCACCATAGCATTTCTGAATGGTGCCAAGGAATAACTGAAAGTCAACTGGATAGGTCATCTCCCCCTACCTTAAATTAGTGGCACATCTGCATAGCACACTGCCAGATGCCCACAGCTGATCCTGTCTGATAGCTTGCCAGAGAGAGGGCAAGACAGCTGCATGTCTTGCTAAAGTAGAGATGTCTTGGGGCTGTCATTCATACCACATCTCATCTTCGGCATAAGGAGACAGGCAAAGTCAAAATATGTAGTTGCAGCTTCACAATAATCATCCATTCTCCCGATGACTGCAGCAAAACCTCTTCTTGCATTTCATATTTTTAAGTGTCAGGGCAAGAAAATACTGCTGTTGAGTTATTTTGAAGGTGTTCTCCCTTTAAAACTGAAGTCACTGTCAAGGTGTCCATACCCAGTTATCTTGTTTGTAGATGAACAGGGCTGACCCTGTAAAAATGACCACTTAGGAATATGAGAAACAGCAAGCATTTTGAGATGGGTCTTAGCTATTTCTGAAATTCCACTTTCCAAAGACCAACTGGGGATGTGTAAAATCTCTCTCCCCCGCTCTCAGCCGAGGGCAGAACACAGTGGTAGACGGCCCTAAATTCACTAGCAACACACACTTCCCTTCCTGAACAGTCCCTAAGAACAAATAAAGCTCTTTCTACTTTCACAGTCCCCATTTACAAGCAAGGGACTTCTGATCTCTGGCATAATGTTTTAATTCACAGTGTCACCGAACTCAGTAGCAGACTCACCTATGGACTCACTCAAGGCAGAAAGCCTCTAGATGGTTGTTTGGGAACTTGTTTGTTTGCATGATGATATGTTTTAAGGACAGAAACTGATAATCTAAGATGTGATAAAGATAGCAAAATTAAGAGCATAAGGTAGATTAAAATGACTAAATGAAGCAGGATCTAATTAAATGAAATACAAGTCAGACCTTCCACCTGTTTTGTCACCACACCTGTCCTGCAGCTGGTAGCACTGGGCATCCTCTATGGAAGGTGTGCTTAAAGGTCACATCATGACTAGGAAAGAGTGGAAACCACAATGTGCAGTATTTATATACATACACAGCGAGAGAGAGAGGGAGATGTTGAGGATGTCCTTTTGAGAAACAATCTTTAGTGTTATGGGCTTGCCCAGAGGAGAGACTTGTTGCCATGTTCTTCCAAGACCCCAGCTTCCTACAGTTTTCACAGGACCTCACACAGCAAACAGAATGGATCCCATTCCACAATACTGTGATCCCACACCTACTCCTTTGAAGGCAGGCATCTCTGAGTTATAAGAGTCCCTGCTCCAACTCTCACATTTGCTCACATTACCTCTACAGGTTCTGTCCAACCCATAAAAATGTCTTCTTGTAAATGTTGCATATTTCCCAAATGTTACTCATATCATACTTTCTACAAAAATATGTTACCAGAAAGTGCTCTTCTATGGCGAAGCTAGAAAATTGGGGATGAGCACAAACCTGTGGGGATCATCAGGGTCACAGTTCGGTAGAAAGTTAGTGACAGCTTCTGCCACTTCTTCATTTAACAGCACATCCCAGAGTCCATCAGTAGCTAGGATCAGAACATCATCTGGCCCATGCTCATACTGCAGGAGGTCATAGACTCGCACCTAAAAGAAAAAAACCCAAGGCACACTCATCAAGGAGGTGACAGTCAGACCTGTTTGTGAAACATTGCTGAGTTTGGCTGTGAGTTTATCAGGTTCAGACAGGGCGCTGACATAATCTCCCATGGCACTGGCAGAGTCTGTCTCCAATTCAGCCCTCCACATAGCAACCCTTCCTGCTGCAGCTCAGTGTGGCTCAGGTGCTAACCCTGGACGGGATGGATGCAAGTGTTCCAAAACCAGGCTCAAAGGCGCTGTGCGGCCTGATGCCAGAAGCACTTGAAGCCTCCCCCACTCAGCAGCCTGGCTTCAGTGCATGAGGCTCCTCCCTATCATTGGCAGGACTAGTCATATGGAAGCTGAATAATTTATTTGATGAATTTTTGATATTTTCTAATAAAATATTCACAAATAATTGTTTTCACTATTTGTTCTGATCCATTTAAGTCTGCCAGATTGCATGTTTAGAAATGCCTGTGTGACAGCCAGCAGTGCATTCATTTTTCTAAACCTGAAGCAGCTGCTGCACTTGAGTTTTGTCTGAGCAAGTGAGTGGTTCCATGAAATGCAGAAAAACTGCTCAGTCACATGTATCTGTAAGCATTTCAGTAGCTACAGACCAATTCAGGATCTGTACAAAAGTGAAGCTTATTCGCACTATTAAAATATCCACTGACTTCAATTTGTATGTCTGCAGCCCTAGTCAGGCTGATCACTGCTGGCATCTCTTCACACCCTGCCTTTTAAACAACTTCCAGCATCCTCTTCCCAGGGAGGCTGAGAGTGGTGGAGGCAGTCACAGTGGGGGTTGCTGCGGGGCCATCAGCTGAGCCAGAATGCAAGCAAAGGCCATAGAAAGTGTTTTAAAACAAGCCTTTAGCTTGGTGTAACTCCCCTTCCAGCACATGCTGTACTCCAGCTGAGAAATGCCTGCAATTCCCAGGTTGTGATGGGGAGCCATTAGGAAGCACCCCCAGTGCACTTTAATCATCACAGCAACACCACAGTTTGACAGAACTATAACAACCACGGCAAGGCAGACAGGAGGGAAGGATCACCTGTACTGAAATTCAGAAACAGTGCATCTCATCATGCACCCTGCTCCAGTCCTGGACCCCACTAACAGCAGTTAGTCAGGACAAGCACTGGGCATAACAAGAAAATATGAGCTGCTTTATTCTCCCTCATGGTGCACTTTCCCCTTAGGAGCCATGGAGCAGGCAATGCATATAAAATTCCTGGACCTTTTAATGTAATTACGCTTTTATGGGACTTCAACCAGTACCAGAGGAAAAAAAAAAATTAAAAATCACCTAGATCTTACTGCTAATCCTTACCAGTTTGCTCTTCACTCAAAAGCACAAGAAGGTCATTTGTAAAATGTAACCTTCACTTCATTATCTAAAGTAGCAGCTGAATAAGGACTTTGGAGAGGATTAAATTCAAGGCAAGACACTCTCTTCATTAGAGCTTATCTGCTTATTCAGACTTGAGTGGGAATATAGAAAAGACCCCTATATGCAGGACAGATCTCATCTCAAGCTTATTGTACAGAGATCAGTAGCTGTCATAGCTCCTGTCTCCCAGAATTTATTTCAGCCTTAACAGCCCACAGTTGCAACTCAGAAATCACTGAGGTGTGGAGGCTGAGTTGGCCAACACAGCCATCAATATACAGCACATGTTCTGGTCAGATCTCTTGGGGAACAGTAAATACTTGAGAAAGCATCACAGTTAATGCTCAGGGAAGCACTCAGCACTAAGCCATTGGTAGGGCTAACCAAGCTTCAAACATCTGTGCTGGGAAAAGCACATCCCAATTGAGGCAAAAGATACATTACATCACAGGAGCCATTTTTGCAGCTTAGGTGGGGAAGAATGTAGGAAAGCAAAACTATGCACCACTGATTGGAATCCTCCTGAAATGAACCATTTTGTCTTACTGAGGAGCAGCACTGGGATGGACAAGAAACTTGCCAAAGCAACCTGCAGCCAGTCCATTAGCAACATCAAGAAGAGATCATTTTATCAAGAATATGTTTTGTTTTAGGGGAACAGGAAAAAAAAATGCATTCACTGATTTATTGTGTAATCTAGGAAGAACAGTATTTTTCCTAAAAGGACAAGCTTTGTGAACTGGGCACCTCCAGAAGAAAGGCAAATGTTGAGAAGAAACTAGATATCAGAAGAGCCTCAGAGAACAGTGAGGTGTTAGGCTAGTCCCCAGGCTAAGGAAAAGAGAGTGCCAAGGTCACAGGAGACAAGTTTGGGGCAATTAATGCAAAATTGTTGCATATAAGGACCAGTTGGGCATGCAAGTAAAGGTTCAATGAAATGCAGTTTTGTCTGCCTTCCAGTTACTTTAAGTCTTTTCTTTGTGTCTTGCCTTGGATTCCTTAAATACAGCTGTAGGTGCCCTAATACGTTGCTGACAAAAAATGAATTAGAGCTGTCCAGTCTATTGCAGGGTCAGGTTATGTCCACAGACTGCCATGTCCAGCTGCAGAAAGAACCAGCTCCTAACCCTTCACTCTTCTGCCAGCACCTTTGTTCTAGTTCTTCCTTGGGTCAATGAGGGTCTCTTGCAGAAGTACCCTGTGCCTTCAGCTGGGCTTGGAGCAGTGTCCCAGCAGAGCTCCTGGAGGCACACAGGCAGCTCCTGGGCAGCAGCAGCTGGGCACGTGGAATGGAAGCTCAGCCCAGCAGGGCTCACTGAACACCCGCTCCACACACATCCCACACTGTGCAGCACCCACAGCACACTGCACACTGTACAAAAAATGTGACAGTATGACGCACCACAGTTTTGAAGTATGAGGAGTCATCCAGGGAATCACCTAAGTGCCTGCAACAGCAACGAACCCACAGCCTTTTAAATCTTATGTGACCAAAACCAGCTTAATGATTGCAATGAAAATGACTATTTTATGTTTTTAGATTCCAGAGTAAACCTTCCCAATGACTGCCTCCTTCCTGTAGCTGTATTTCAGGAAAGTAAAGAGTGAGGTTTAAGGAAAGTTCTGTCTGTGACACAAGTTTGTGCATAGCTGTTCACACGGTAAAGCAGCATTGCAGAACCCTGCTCCTTCAGGTGACAGCTGGCTGGACAATGACTGGCAGTGCAGATGTTTCCTTTACTGGTGCAACACCCTTGACAAATTTCCTAACAATGCCATCTTGAATCTTCAGTCTTTTCCTTGTGAATCACTGCTTCTGCAGCCAGATGTCACTTTTGAGAGTGTCCCACAGAATTTGTGTCCTTGGCCTCCCACAATGTCCTGAGGAGCCCTCTTAGCAACTCCCTCCAGCCTACTAGCCTCTTCTCTGTGAAGAGTGAGTTTCTCACTCTTTAAATTTATCTCTCTGGAGTATCAGGGCAGCCCTGGAAGGAGCCAGGCTTGGTCACCATACTTCTCCCATCTGCTCATGTCTTATTGACGTAAAGTAGCTGACCAGTTAACTAGCTGAACTTGACGTTAGCAACTAGAAAATGTAAAAACTAAAAGAAACCTCAGCAGCACAGGTAGCCATGAAGCCACAGTAATAAGCACTGGGTTACCCTTATATCCTACAGATAGAATAATACAACCTAACCTGACTAGTACTTAGAGATCTGCTGACAGGTAATAGTGGATACACACTACTAGAGCCCATAGTCATACACATCTTTCTGAACATGCATTATGTAGTTTGTCAAATAACATCCTTCTTCAATAATTTGTTTCTCATATTACATATTGCCTACATGCAGTCAAGAGCACTGAGAAAACTGCTCTGGGCAAACAATGAACAAACAGGTGAGATGGTTTTTATTTACATTTCAAACAGATCTACCCACCAGACAAACCCTGCCTTTGGCTGCTGCAAAGGGCCACAGCAGCCCTGTGAAGGTGCTGTGCCTCGTTGGTCAGGTTTATTTTTAAGAGGCAGCCAACGTGAGTCCCTGTGGCTGGAAAACCACTCACAACAGAGTGACATGCGAGCCTGCAGCCACCTGAGGTGCTCCTCAGTGGCTGGCCTCCGGGGATTCCAGCTAAACAACAGCCTGCATTCACTCGCCTGCACTATTGATCAACCCAGCTACTTCAATAAATTAAGCCCTTTCTTAATTGTATCATCCCTTTTATGCACAGTGTTATCCAGTGCAGCTTTCCTGGCAAATGATGAGATCTTTCAATACCACTCTCCATGTAATTTATATGTAAATAATAAAAAGTGGGTCTCAACACTGCTCCCTGCAGCATTCACCAATTAATCTCCTTTTAGCTTTTTACTGCCACCCTTTGTTTCCTGCCCGTTAGCCAATTTCCAGTGCACTGTGCCAACTTTCCACTTTGTCTGTAGCTTCATATCTTTTATATTAATAACCTGTGATGCACAAGTTTCTCAAATGTTTCCTGAGGAATCAAAGTGCTCATACAAGAGCATCAACTGTATTTATTATTATTATTTTAATTCTCTTGTAGACATAACCTCAAGGACCTGAAGCCACTTAAGTGTGATATTTGCTTCCTGAAACCACTTTGACTCCCTTTGATCATACTGTGCTTCTCTATGTATTTGCCTTCTTGTTCCTTTTGATGGCATAATTCCTGAGGATTTCTCCAGAAGGCAGATGTGACTCTAAACGGTCGCCTTGGACATATTTGTGGAGTTGTCAGAAAGATTTTACAAACACTATGGAATAACCAAAATTCTTCTTCATTACCTTCTTATCGTTTGCTCTGATGGCTGGCTTTGGGCTCCTTGCTGGCAAGGGCCAAATGCTGCCATCAGAGCCACATCTTTCCCCACCAAATAGCTGAGCTGCCATTCAAAAAATTTTGGGATGAAATTCTGCTTTTCATCTGCAACAAGATCTCTCTAAGTTTTGAAAAGCAGATTTTCCTGCTGAAATTAACTGCTCCATTATGAAAAATAAATATTTAATTCCATGCCAGAGAGCCTCAGCCATGGCTTGCCTGCTTTGTGCTACTCCAGTTCATTATAAAAGGTTCAAATCTCTAGAGCTCACCAACCTGCAGAAGTCCTCCAAATCTGGTCTCATAACAGCTGAGCCAGTGAATACTGATTACATTTGTCAGTCTTGGCTGCATGACTTTTCCTCCCATAACCTGGCACTCTGTCAAAATATCATTTCACACCACCCTCAAATTACTATTATATGCCTATTTCTGGATGTAGTCTCAGGGATGTTTACCTTTCCTTGAGCTAAATTTCGGTGCATATGGCAGAGCTTTGTCACGCTGGAAGTAAAATGTTCAGAAAACTCACCACACTGCCCCTTACTTGAGAAAGAACACTGCAATTATGGCACAAAAACAGAAGCCAGAGGACTTGGATCTTCCCTCTGTCACGATTCACTCTGTGCCTTAATTTCCCGTGTCTCCCCTTTTCCAGGTCTGGAAACCACGCATTTCACTTCCCTACCTCTATATAAACAATTCAAAATCCCATGCTGCACAGGGACCAAATATGACTGCTGCCTGACACCACTGCCTTTACCTCTGAGTGCCAAGCCTCCCAGATGGCAGAATAAAGGTGTTGTTTCTTAATACTGGTTTCTGTGCAAGGTACACTGCCCGTGTTTGGACAGAACAAGTCAGGGAAAAACATGAGGAGTTAAAGCACTGGGTCTCTCTCTGGGAAGAGAAGGAAGACATGATTACGAGGAGGAGGTGCAATAGAAAGCAAGTTGGAGCATATGCTATTTCATAATAATACTCAGGGTTTTTTTTGCCAATATCTCTAAATAAAGGTGGCTGGTGCTCTGTCTTTCCTCCTCCTGCCCTCATATATTTCTGCTGAATTTAGCTGTGAAGAGGATGTGGAAACAAAGCCAATATTGCTTCCCTTTTGCAAAGCAGTTAAGAGATCCTGAAACGTGGCTAGCATACGAACTGGATGCCACATTCCAGAATTTGAACATGTACAGACACATTCCCCACAAATCAGAAAAGCCCATGAGAAGCTTTGGTTTATAGACATACACAAACACTGCGGCAGCAATTGGCAGAGATGATATTGCTGGGATGCTGTGCTGCAGCCATTATGTACCCCAGAAACACTGGATCTCAGCAAGCCAGAAAGAAAAATAAATAGGTAGAATTGCATCATTTTTCTGGCATTAAATCCATCACAGTGATGAGGGCAGAGTTCCTGCCTGCCTGGCTGAGGAGAACAGGAGCAGGTCTCAAGTGAGGGATACCACACACTCAAAGGGGGAAAGTACACAAATGATAGCAAGGAAACATGAAGAAGGGGCTGTCTGTAGATCTCCCTCTTTTCTTCAGGGCTGGGTTCTCTCAGCACTTTTAAAATTTTGATTTTTATAATTGGAATTTTACTATATAATTTATATATAATAAATATAAACATATATAAATTCTACATCTCTGTTTATAGGTACAGAGGCGAGAGGGCACCACACCGCCACTCTGTGGAGTAAACCAGATCATCTTTAGTTGTGGGGTGAATTGTGGTGATGCATCCTTCCTCCCTGTCCTTCCTCAGGCCAGACTATGATCTCAGAAATGCTGTCAGGCCTTGGCCTTGATGAACAGCACCTGGGCTGAGCTTCTCTCAAGCTTATCAGAAGCATTGTCTTCTCCTGAGAACTTGTGCTGTCTAACGAGCTCCTGTTTTTTTTCAAACAGCCTTGGAAACTTATTCTTGCCTGAATAACAACCCAAATGGAACAACATTATAACAAAGTTATCAAACTTTCAGAGAAAGTTACCACCCAAATTGCAGCAAGAATGGAAAATTACTATGGCTAAAGCCAACTGTCTTGCAACCCTACAAACAGTGAGTCCAAGTGAGACTCTTTGAGCTCTCCTGGACTACACCAGGCTGTGCACATTCTCTTTTAGGTCTGTGTACCTATGACTGTAAATATGCTATACCAAAGGTACTTGGAATGTTGCTCTGTTAGATTCTTAAATATGTTAGATTTATAAGTTAAACTTAAGTCAGTTACTGTTGTGCTTACAGTAAATTCTATAGAATATTTTGTTCAATTGTTTAAACTCAGCTATTGATTAAGTGCTGTTAAAATCTTTAGGTCAAGTCCAGGGAAAAGTTTGGCAAGGGAGTCTAGTGACACAAGAGGGTGTCCCTTATTCCTTTTTATCCTTAACCTTTCCCTTATTCCCTTCTTTACCCTTAAGCTTTTTTGTTCCAGCTCCCACATAGGTAATTTTGGCTAACTTTAATTTTAGATTCATTGATCTTAGATTTCAGTCCAAATTTTCTCTGTGCTCCAACCATCTAGTAAGTAGTAGAGTGAATCCTGCCAACAAACCGTTGTGCTTTCATTTTAATATTGAACCTGCTTTTGTTGATACTTTTACTGCTGATTCTTTGAACCAAATATAATAAATTGGTTCCTTCCTAGCAGTATGATGTTATTTGTGTTTTTTTAGTCTCTCATACTGCTGTAGCAAGCAACAAATTCAAGGTCAAATACTGGGTATGGTTAAAACTTTGGCAATCCAGTTGACAATGGACAGTTTTCAGCATTTGGGCCATGGAAGCAAAGCTGCTTCTTTTTGTGCTGTCATCAGATGGTTTGCCCTTGCTTAATATTTTATGAAAAATACGTGACATCTGTTTCTTGATCAAGGAACAGGAATGCAGTTACAATGGGAGAACAAAAAGCAAGACTTGCATGTTCCTTGTTAACAAATACATTTAAGTCCCTTTGGAAGGCTTGATATCCTTCACTGTAAGGTCTCCAGTGGTCAAAAACTGGGTGGAATTGCTTGTGATGAGGCCATTCAAAATGAAGGAGGCATTCAAAACTACCCCTAAACAAAATACCACATAATCTCCTCATAACACCATCATATTGGGAATGCACACTGTCATTATTTGGTGTTTGCACAAAACTAGCAAAAGAACAGAAGGTTAAGAGGCAGAGAGATGGAAGCATAAAGTACCCTTCCTATGACTCTTGGCATTTTCCTCCTTAAGAGTTGATCTGATATTCTCTGTGTAAAGCAGGATACTACACTGCTGTGGAAGATGTCCCTTCTGCAGTACATGGATTTACATCTCCTGTGAAGGCAGCATGATCTAGGCCTTTATGGGAGCTGCAGCACATGAAGGTGAAACAAGAGGTGGGTGTCTGTCACACTGAATGGCAAGGCTATGGGATAACCACAGAAGAGGGAGTGAGAAGGAATGAGTGCTCTGTAGGGATGTGGAGCAATCAGCACACAGCTGGGGAATTTAGAATCTACTGTGATCTTAGTTCCTACTTGTGGATGTTACTATCATGCTTCACCTTCCAAAAGGGCAGCATGTTACCTGGACTGGATCACAATCAGAATGGATGATTTGGGAAGAACAAATAAACGCACTAAGTAAATTTATTTCCCTCTCACAAATCAGATAGTTGAACTTTGGCTGTTTTACCTCAGGAGATGAGGACAGGAAAGGTTTGATGTATATATTGGAGTCATGCACTTTCAGGTCATGGTCTCCCAGTCCTCGGGTCACTCCGATTGTTGCCATAACCCGCGCCTGGAAATAAAGAAAAGCAGTGGGATAAAATCTTGTTAGATGGACTGTGTCAATAAGGAATGAGATAATATTCCTGCTCCGTAACTGCTACAGTTAGGGATGAATTCCCTTTTCTCTCCCAGAAACTCAAGTATTAACACAGCCAGACAACGTCAAAGCTTTTCACACTCATGCCATCTCCATTTTTCTCCTTATTAAGCTGTGTTTTCATCCACATTCCACTCCCCATCTCTAAGGTATTGGTCTATAGAAACCTAACTCAGTCACCTCACTGTCCACACCAGTGTATGAAAGCATTCCTTCAGCAAATTATACTGTTAGTATAGGTTTTATAAAGAGGACAAGGAGTTTAACTACTCACATAACAATTCCATGGTATCTTTCTATTGACATATTGTTGCATATGCCCTTTATCAGGGAAAAGTCCCAAAGACTACCCTAAACCGCTGAACACACATGTGACAGCAGCACTGACCACAGTGCTCTCTTCTAGGGTGTCACTCTACAGCAGGTCTGCAGTTCCCTCACACCTACCACTTCCTTCCTCCAGCACCTTCCTCTACAACATGAGTGGTGTCCCAATAGGTTCTGGGCTCTCCTTCATGAAAGCTGCTCCACAGACTGACCAGCCATTCAGCCTCACAGGGAACCCTGCTCTCTGTGCTCTGCAGATCACTTCCCCCAAACTCAAGCTCAGCCACAGCAGCTTCTGAGCAAGGGAGGCTCAGCATCACTAACAGTGAGCAACTGACTCAGAATCATTTTGCCTCAATGACTCCTGTCTCCACAGGGCCATAAGAAAGTAAATTAAAAAGATGTGCATGAAACATTTTGCAAATAATTACAAACCTAATGAAATTCAGAGATAAGCTGCAGATCTGAACCTTCAAAACATGGACTAATTTTGAAGAGTGTCTATTTTTGCACTGAGATAAGAACCTAATGCAGCAGAGGAGCACTATTTAGAAACACAGCAAGCATACCAATATCAGCAAACTGACACCACTGCATCCTTATATTGATCCTGTTGCTGCATCCAGCTAAGCTTGCTGGGACCAACACTAACGAGCTCACTGTTCTTAATCACAGAGGTGAAAACAAAGCATAACAAACAGAACAGTGTTTCTCCCTTTCAACTATCAGCCTTCACACATCAAAGCATAAGAAAAATTCAACAGTGAGTTCACATACACTAGCTGAAGAAGATAAGGTTAAAAGGTGTTATACTTTACAAATCCTGCCCTGATCCCTCCTCTTCCTAAATTAGAGTTTTGTATCTCAGAGCACTATTAAATATCTTCCTGCTTTGTTCTACTTATATTTTACAATGAAACAGGAACATTTAAAGTCAATTACTTACAACAGTCTCATTGTAGCCTATTTACAGTGAAAGAAAAACAAAAGCAAACTAAACAACAAATGACTGCTGTAAAATGCTTTATTACTATGTTGAGCCACCACCCCCCAGACATGAGACTGACTTATGATAGAACCAAGATAATCTTTCAAGCTGTCAAAACAATAAAATAAAGAGATACTGAGTGGAAAACACTGGACTGCCATGGGCTAAACTGAATGGTAAACAGCACAGAATTCCTTCTTCCTTTGGTCTGAAGAAAGCAAATGTGCCCACCTTCTTGCCTTCTCCATATATAAGGGGAAACTTCAAGTCATCTTCCTCAATGGTTTTGTATGCCCTGTGGGGGGAGGACAAACAACATTTATGAAGCTTGTACTCAATTAGTGACCCAGTGCCCCGAAACAAGTAGCTGTGATTTCAAAAATGGGGGGCGGGATCATTATTTTTCCTAGGGACTCTGTCTTTGAACCAAGATGTAAATTTCTTTTTCTGCAGGAAGGTTTTCTGCAAATAGTTATTCATTTCACCAAAAGGAAAAGTGAAGATGGGAAAATATCTAACATGCCAGGCTGCTCCTATTGATTGCAAATAAAGAGGTGAACTGGAATAACATCCTAATCAGGTAAGATATTGGCGGATATGGTACCAGCTATACCATAACACAGTGTCATCAAAAACCCCAAATCCAACCAAATAAAAAAACCCAAACAAAACAACCCCAAACCCAAGAAACTAACCAATACCTAGATTGACACTGTTAATGTGAGCAGTGACAGGACTAGTACACACAGTGTGAAACAGCTGTCTGATCCCATTCTCACCCTCCAGGACCGCAGAAACCAAGACAAGCTTCACGTGCTGAAGGTCTTAGGATATTTAGTGCTCATTTAACCTTGACTGCAACAGTCAAGGTTGTCAGAGGTTTCACATTTCACAGCAGCTTTCCCATGGACAAGAGACAAGAGAAGTAAATGCTCATGCTCTGATTCTGTTTACCGTATGCTTGTGTACTCTACCTTTTACACATCCAGCTGTTGACACTGATGAGAGGAGAAGGCTAGCAATTTTGCCAGTGAGAAATAAAAAAACCCAACAGAAGATGACAGTCATTCTCATAAGCTGCAGAGTCCTGCGGTTTGCATGATATGTGCTTGAGTTCAGGTGCTGGTACCTTTTTGGCTAAGGTATTTGCCCCAGAGGAGCATACTTCCCTTCATACCACAAAGTCATCCCTCCTCAGCCTTTCCCTGAATGTTGTGCTTCCCTCCTGGCCCATCCATGTCCAAAGCCCTCAGGGTGATACCGACAGCACCCCGAGTGCACAAACTGGAGTGGGGGGGAAGGTGTTGGGCAGATCCCCTGCCAGCCACTGCCAACCCCTGCTGTGTAGCTCTCCAGGATGGCTGCCTGAGCTCCAGTGAGTCACATGGGATTGAGTTTATGCAATGTTAAGGCTGTCATGTAAACCAGCAGGAAATTAAAAATTAAGGGTGAAATCCTATATTGTAATCAAATTGCCCCCTGCTTCAACAAAATATGGAACAGGCCTGGGATCAATAAATGGTGCTGTACATGCGGCATCACCCAGACAAGACTCAGACTTACTGTGAATTGAATAGACATTTCCCAGTAATCACAGGAAGGGATTATTTTAGGGTTCTGGACATGAGGAAGGAACAAGAAAAAAGAGAAAAGCAACCAAAATGCATAGAAAAAACAGTGCAGGGCTCCCCTCACATACTAAAAAATATTACTATATATAAAATCCCCAGACTAGGTGAGGTTTGCAAAATACAGTGGGTCCTTCATGTAGTCAAGAATATCTTAGAATATACAACCATAATATTTGGCCATCTCTCTAAGACACAATACATTGAAGGCATTCAAATGGCATTCTGCACTGGGGAGGGCAAATAAATTAGCTCTTAAACCAAACAAAGAGGTGCAAATTATTACATGTAGCCAACATGATAATACTTCCCTGATGTTTAAAACCTGGAACAGCCTTTAGCTGGGAACGAGGAATCAGTCATGGATATTGCTCTTGCTCCTTACTTTATTTCCCACAAATATCTCTGCCTCACTCACTAACTTGGATATCCTGGCTTGAATGCAGAGCAAAAAATTTACTGTTCCTGAACATAAACATGTTTCTAAGCTTCCAACTGGACCTACAGTGCTGGAAGCCCTGGGAAAACATCCTTGAGGAGTCTGAACTATGCCCTGCATAAAGCCAGTACTTCTCTGCCACCAAGAAAATGGGTGTCAGCTGAGTCCGTTGTGGGCATCAGTCAAATGACTAATCAAGCCACAAGCCTGAGAAGACAACCATTCCTACTGGATGTTCACATTGTTGTACATATTTGTTAAAACAGCAAACAAAACGAAGATGTTGTGGCTTAACTGTTTGCAGCCCCCTTTTTAAAAGAAAAAACTTGTTCTTTATACACAGACTATATTATCTGCAAGGTAACTAAATATTTAAGACCAAAGCCCTCACTTTACACTACCCTGTAAGTTGACAAAAACAGAGACCAAGCTTTTTTCCCCTCTGTCCTCTTTCTCCTTATATTCTCCTGCACAACACTGACTATGCTTCAGGAAGAAGGGAAAAAAATATCATTTAGGCCAATGTCCTTCAAAAGAATGCTCTCCACTGCTGAGTGCAGCTTCTTTTAGGGAACCATTAAAAAACCACTGTCCCTCAGGCCTTCAAGTGTGACACCTCAGTGTAAGGACATTGGGCGAGGCCATGTTCCAAGCTGCAGCTAACTTGTTCCATCAGCAGATCAGGGAGAGCAGCTGGCTAGCCTGTGACCTGAAGCTCTGCAACTAAGTGAGGGAGGCCCAGAGAGCTACAGTGATTTATTTTGTGGTTTCTCATAGCTTGTCACCTCTTGGGCTTAGAACCTGGGTGTCAAACTCATCTCAAATGTGCTTTTTCTGTTGATGTTCCTATTGCCCGAAAATATACCATCATTTAAAAAACAATGCTCAGAACTGCAACCACAGCAGCAGAGGTAGCACAGACACACTGAAAAGCAACCTGGGACACTCTAGAAAAGTACCTAGGTCCTGCATTGCCAGAGAAACAGAATTAATAACATACTAGTGTGTGGTTTGCTGCAGGAGAAGCATGAAGCACAGCTTTTCAGCTAACAACTCAGCAACTGTGCTGGGGAGATGGAAAGAAGATATGAAGTTCATTTTAATTTATGCCCTGTGAAACCTCCTTTATTTTGCATGTAGGTTTATTTCTCACAGGCTACAATCTTCTAGACTATTTCTCTTGATTTTATGTAATGAAGTTGCATTTATACTGCCATGCACTGTATATAAATATGGCAGTAGGTATATCAAAGACAGACATACAGAGAACCCGAGGGGGTGGTTTGGCTCTTTTAGTGCCAGCATGGCCTTATTCAGCCCTCTGTGTAATTCAGCCCAGCTCACTGTTTTAACAACAAAGCATTGCAACCCTTCCCTCTCCCTCTCTCTGTCTTCCTTGTCCACATCCCAGGAGATTTTGGTGGTCACCAGGGCATGACAAGAAAGGTAATAAAGACAAGGCGATGCTATTGCTTCCAGCTCTGAATGAGCCTAAAGCCTGTTAAGTACTTCTGCCACGTAAGCCTCAATTTTTCCAAATGGAAAAACAGGGGGAGCAGTGGGGAGTAGAAAAGGCAAGCTTGTGCCCAGCTAGATCTAGCTGCATTTTTTTCAGTTAACTTTGTTTCTTCTTTTCATTTCAAAAGAATTATGAAATGCTACTGCTGTCCAAAAATACTGAACTAGGCCTTGACATATGTACCACCAACAAAGTTACATTTGGACTCAGGATCAAAATTTTGGAAAACCTGGCCAAATCACACCAGGAGCCAAAAGAGATGTCAGAACAAAAGAACTAGGACTGACATGATGTTACTCATATGCTAACTGAAATGGCTCTAAATGCACAGTGAAAAAATAACAAGGAGCTACTAAATGCACAACACAATCTACAAAAGTTTCTTAGAGTGCTCGTGTCATTAGTGCTTTAAACTCTTGAAATAAAAGATTATCAAAGTTACCTGCATATTTCTGGGTCACAAGTTGAAAAACCAGTCAGCTCCCCTATGCAAATTTCAGAGCCAAAATCCTAGATAACGTCTTACATGTGTTATGAGTTCTCCTGCCATATATAAGTTGTTCTTAAAATTGGCCTTCTGAAAGCACATACAAATTCATGTAAGAGTAGAAGTTGATGACTAAAACCAAAATCCACATTCTATTTTCTTTCATGGCAAACTGTGTGAGGTTACTGGTTACAAAAAAATATTGCACTGGCATCCCCAGGCACAACAGATGGTGTTGAAAACACAACCTACCCTGACCTGGAAGGTTCAGTTCTGTGCACGACAGGGGAATCCAGACTCTGCTCTGCTTTTTCATGGCACTTGGCTTTAGAAAGTTTGCCTGTTTCACATCTCTGCTTGTGACACCTAATAGTAAACTGAGAATTAAACCTAAGGAAGAGCAAAGAAAATCATCATCAAAGGGCTTTAGCTTGAAGCATAGAATAAACCTATTTGTGGCAAGCAACCAAGAGAAAGTACTACCGCTTCATAGAAGTCCTAGTTCACACGCAGTGCAAGACTAAAGGCATCCCTGAGTCAGGCTTGTAGATTTCATGTATTTCTAGCATTGATTTGCTGCCACTCTAAAAACCACCAAACCTAGGGCCATCCATACACCCTCCACCTGCCCCAACTCTCCTCCTCACCCAACATAACCCAACTCACAACAAAACTACTCCAACTATCCAAACAACCTCCTCAAGCTCAACTTTCTCTGGTCATACCAACAGAAAATCATGTTTTAATTTTTAAGCAACACAAAACTTGACAGAAACTCTTTTTTTCTCCTCTTCCACACAAGTAATCAGTGGAATGGAGCTCACCCTTTGGGTAACAGAGCTTAAACCACTAGTCCAAAAGGAACTGTTCATCTGTACTATCTGTTGAACTACAGGCATCTAACCAGTCTAAGTGCATGCTTACTATCAAGAAGAAAAGATGTGCAGTGCAGGTTAGGCACAGAGCCATTGAAAATTGTACCATTTATGTCTCAACTCAGCCATAATCTTAAAAAATGTCCTTACACTTGTGCTTCTGCAGAGTCATGATCTCTATGTCCAGACAGCACTGTCTGATACTAAGTACCCTCTAGATAGGTTACCTCTAAGGTTCACTGTCTCAGTACTTTTCCCCTATTGCTCATCTGACACATTGTTTAATGAAGTGAAATTACAATAAACAAAGATAATTAAGGCAGACAAACTCAAGCAATATTTGTTAA